GTAGAAATAGAATGTATTGAATCTATTAGATTTAGAAATGCCTGCATCAGCAAAATCATGGCTCAGCAGAACCATAGACAAATGTGTGTTAAAGAGAAAGAGACTATATGGTTTGGAGAAAGGGGCACCAAAGTGGCATCTATAAGTTTGGGACAGGGATTACATAGGGGAGGTTTGAGCCATCAATAAAAGACCTAAAAACTCAAGAACTTCTTGATCACAACCTTTGCCCTGGTGAATCTCCCACTGGCCTCAGAAATCTGACCAAGAATTCATGTTACCTGCTTCTCCTTTCTGCCCACCCACAGCGCAGAGGGAAGCTCAGGTCCCATCTCCTGCAGGTTATGCCTGTCTTGGATTATTAGCAAATGTGGCCCCCATGACTTGAGTCTTCAACTGCCCCTGCAACTAAAAAAAGGCAAACTGCCAGAAGGTATTAGAATAGGAGATCAATGGGCTTGGCAGTTAAAGAGTGAGACATGTCCCAAGTCCACTGACTTTCTTCTGAGGACCAGTCAAGAAAAATAGTATGCAGGTAAGCATAAGAGGATCCTGATATAAAAACCCATTTTTTCTTTAATCAGATCAGCAATATTTAGGGTACTTTACAGGGAACAGTATGTTCTTTGCAGGAAAACCTAAAGAACAAGGTAAACCATTACCACATTAAACACTGTCTTATCAAATCAACCTGTATCAAAATGCATCACAATACACTAGTGAGTAATGCTGGGGCTCAGCCAAGCCTGGGGCTTACATTAGCCATAGTTCCTGAGCAATGATTTCCATCTTCCAAATAAGTTGAGATCACAACCTTTTCACCATTGTTTCCTACCAAACAAAGGAGTGGGTGTCACCCTCAGCCTCTTCCAGACCATTGAAAGACAACAAGATAGTAAAGCAACCCACCCACCCCATGTGCAATTCCTGCCAACTCCAAACATCCTGAAACAATAGGCTGAACAAGACTAGAAGACAAGGTTTATGTGAGGTCCAACACCTCTGCCTGAGAATGAATCATAAAACCACTAGCACTCCATTCCCCAGCATTACACCATCTAGCCTCAACCTGGTCCAACCATGCATAATGAAAAAGAAATCAGGAACATGCTGAACTTTTTTAAAACCTCAAGTACATTTTAAACTCTGTTTTAAATTCATTTAAATTAACCTAGGTCAGGCAACCTCTTTATTCAAGTAGAGTTATTCTTACTGGTTTAATAGCAAAAGTGGTCAGACACATTTTTCTATTAAAAAATTTTAAAATAACCTGATAGAAGTACATTGTAAAACTCAGTGGAGACTATGGAAACAGCTTACGATAAACTTGGCCTTACAAAATAACTAATGAAGGAAATTTCTCAGTTACTTGGCACAGGGAAACAACTATTTGTATATTATTAAGTATTTCGTTGGTCACAACTAATAGCATAATTTTCATTTTCTAAAATAGCATTTTTCAAAAATGTCTTAAAAGGACACCAATGCAGCAAGAGAACAGTTAGCCAAATACTCTTGAGAAGCTCTGCCTTCCCCAGTCTGCTGCCTGGAAATGAGCACTACACATTGGCATATTGGAGAATAGGAGGTTGTGGTAAACTCGGTGGAACCCAGCATGTCCCCAAGTTCATTTGGCCCTCAAGCCCCTTTTCTCTCATAACACATCAACTTACCACAAAATGGCTATTCTGCCCAGCACACTTTGGGCAAGATTCTTTGAGAAAAGGAATATAAATAAGTAGTTTAAGAGCTGAGATTCTAGAGTCAGCCTGATTCAAATAACAGCTATACATTTGTTAGCTGTGTGACACTGAGCAAACTTCTTGATGTCACTTGTCCCAGGTAAAATGGCCAAATAATGGCAGCTATCTCCTAAGACATGGGCCTTTTCTCCTGACTGGAACAGTCTTCTGAGATCTTCACATAGCTGACTCCTTTTTGTCATTAGGTCTCAGTTTATATTGTCACCCCCTCCAAGTCACTCCCACCTCACTAGTGCTTCATCTTCTTCAGGACATTTTCCTAACTATGAAATTGTCATCTATTTCTTCCCAATAGAATGCAAGCACCCATGAAGCCAAATTATGGTTTTCTTTTCTATATTCCCAAGCAGATCTTCAATAAGAATTCACCCAATTAATGAATAAATGAATTAGTGAATAAACAAATGAGGTAGTTTTGTGAGTTCAGCATTAATCAGTGTAGAGCACTTCACAGTGCCTGACACACAAACAACTATACAGACCCTTTTGAAAACTTTTGATAAACTATGAGTGGTTAATGCACTCATAATCTCAATTCTTTCAATTTCTAACTTTCAGATGCAGTGAGTCTTCTTAATACATTGAGGACATTTCATTTATTCAGAGGTATGCCAATAAATAAGCATTCAGGAATGAAATAGGGGTGAGCCATGAGAGTAGTATTTACCAATTTCCATGGTGATAATATTCCAACTAGGACTAATTTCAGGATATCAATGATTTAATGGACAACTCACACACAACTCCTGAAATTTTAATAAATGACTCTCAGAAGCTACTACAACCCTTCTCTTGGAAAGGATTCTTTCATGTCTCCAAGTCTTATTCATTGAGTTCAAACTGAAATTGACTTTTATATAGAGACACATATTCCACATTCTTTCTTCTTGATGACCCAATTCATGGCCTATCCACGGAGGTTAGTTTGATGCTCAAGGAGATGAGTTGGATGTTCTGGGCTTCATTTTCTGTACCACCCTTTGTATGCATTCAAATTGATGGTCAATGCTCTAAACATGATCTGTATCCACGCTAGACCATTGTGAGAGGACCAACCAGTTTCAGAAAACACAAGTGGAATTGTTTTTAGCCACACAACAGGATGAATGTAGCATCTATTAAGTATTACCAAATAACAGAATCTAATAATAGAAGAAGAGTGAGTCCACCCTGACTACTAGATGCCATAGAGTAATGAATAATGCTGCAGATGAAGGTTTCTCTGGCATCATAGCCTTGCTGTACATACAACATTGTCCCTTGGTACTCAAAATAAAAGCTGTTTGTTCAACTGTAGTGATTCTCTATCAACCATAACTTTGAGAAAACACAAGCAAAATTTTTAAATCCAAAGTCAATCTACATGCAAGTAATAAATACCAGGATTATTATTTCTCTTCTGTAAACTACATGGGAAGTTTATGGAGTGAGACAGGGAGAGGACTAATATCTGATCTACTGTATTAGCTATCTATTACTATAACAAATCACTTCAGAATTCATCAGCATAAAACAACACACGTTTATTATCTCACAGATTCCATTAGTCAGTAATCCAGGCATAGCTTACCTGGTTTCTCTGCTTCATGGTCTCTAACAAGCTGTAAAGTGTCAGCCCAGAGGCTGTCATTCCATCTGAGGGCTTGACTGTGGAAGGTTCCACCTCTAAGCACACTAAGTGACTGTAGGCAGTTTCAGTGATTCAAAGCTTTCAGACTGAGTACTTCCATTCCTCACTGTATATTGGCTGGAGACTACCCTCACCTCTTACCACATGAGCCTTTCCATATAGCAGCTTGCTTTATCAAAGCATGAAAGCAAAGGAGGCAACACAGTCTGCTAGCAAGATTGAAATAATAGTCTTAAGAAACCTAATCATGGATGTGACATTGACATCTCATTACCTTTGCCATATTCTATTGTTTATATGCAAGTCACACATTAGCCAATACTCAAGGAAGGGAAATTACAGAAGGATGTGAATCCAAGAGGCAGGGATCACTGGGGATCATCTTACAAGTCTTCCCACCATATTCATTCTCTTGGAATATGGATGGGAAGACTCTGCTCAACAAAACATGGCTTCAAGTATCTCAGTATGAAACAAAGCCATGTGGCTTCCCAAGTATGTGGCTAAGATCTCATGAAAAAAATAAAAGAAAACCATAAGGGAGAATCAGAATAGAGATCATTAGGTTTGAAGACAAAGTTTGTTCAAATGTTCTAACCAAATACAATCTCCATCAGAGAAAACTCCTGGGAGCATTTGCATTTTAGCAAATCCCAACATGGAAGTCAGGTTTTCTGAACAAGTGACTCACAAGAAGGAATGCCCATCTAACAAGTAGTCAATGCCAAGAAATCTAGTCTGCTCTGGAATTATTTATTGCTGTAGAATATTTTGAAATATATTTAATGCCACTTTATTGCTCATGATTTGCTGTGTGATGCATGTCCCCTTCAGTATATTTGCCTACATGACACTTTCAAGATCTGTATCCACCACAGTGGCAAGTAACTGCTGGAACAATTTCAAACCCTGGCTGTCACCCACATTTTTTTCTAACCTTTACCCAACCACATATTCTCAGATATCTGAGCATCACAACATTTCAATGGTGGTATAAAACCAGACAGACTGTCTGTAAAGGACTTCAATGATTTAATCCACTAAGGGTAAAACACATACTCAGAAAACCCGAAACACTGTGTCCTAGACAAATGTAAATGCAGACAAAGATTATCTTAAATGTAAACGTTCAAAATTGGTCTGCACAGTTTACCATTCTTTCCAGAAACACCCATTTGTTTTACTTCCTGTACATTCTACCCTCAATTCAGTTATAAAAAATATTTAAGTTCACTCTGTTGCTAATAACCTATTTGTTTTGTTCCTTTAAAGAGATGATGTTTGATAAACAACTAAGCTTAAGTAGTGCTGTACTTAAAAGACCCCAAAACTATCGCCACCTGTGGGAAACAACTAAACCACTTTAGGATTATCACGTGCTGCACATGCTTGGATCCCGAGTACCTGAATATGAATGGAATGCATGTGTGGTGAAAAGGGGAAGAAACTAAGGTAAAATTCCAGTTTAATGGTCATAAGCAGACAGAATGATTATAAAGCAGATGATGAAGGAAATTTTATTAAAGCTGAAGATATCTTCCCACCTATGAAAATAACTTGCTAACAACTTAATTTATAAAATAAGAGAAAGTGAGTGAATGTCTTACCTCTCTCAGATGAATGTTTTCCTTCTCTTTCTGGTCTAAAATTACTTCCAAGTGGCTGACCTGAGATTCAGCCTCTGCCATCCGGCGCGTCCGCTCGTTGTCATCCTCAAGGCTTTTGGATGGTAAACCTTTACTTTGCAACATCTCCAGGAGCTTTTTGATCGATTCATCTCGGGCATTGAGGGTCTGTTTCTGTGTCTCGATTCTTAGCTCCATTTCCTCCAGGGTCTTCCTCAGCAGGAAGAGCTCCTTGGCCTGTCTATCATGCTCAGCCTGGAGCCTCCTGAAGTTCTCCTCCGTCAGCTCAATGGTGAAGTGCTCCGCTCCACGGTTGCCACTCTCCTGCTGCAGGAGGTGGTTGAGGTCTCTCTGGGTTCGCAGCTCATCCTGAAGAGCCTGGATTGTCAACTGCAGGTGCTACGATGAGAAAGACAGAGCAGGACAGGAAAAGGAAAAAAGTCAATGACAGTGTCAGGCACTGTTTGCTGCTTCCACACCATGAAAATGGAATGTTAATCATGAGTTCCAGGGGGCCAGCCATGAAGTCCTCCATGGTGACTTCAGAAGCATGGGACAGCACATGGAAAGGGGGATATTAATTCAGTGATGCTTTCTGAATGTCTTAGGAGAAAAAAAATGTACACATACACAGAAACAGTATATTAGTGTCAATCACAAGGGAAAGTATACATCTATAGAGCTTTAAATTAGGAAGTGAAAGGGTTAGAGGGAAAGTTTCACAAACACATCCTATTTATGCCCACAACACTCCAGACTCAGTATTCCTTGTTTCCTAAGATGTTCTTTATTCTACTATCCATTATTTTTCCTGATAAATGTATGTCCGTTTAAAAATGAAAATAATAGCATCCACTACAAGTAGACATAAACAGGGACTTTTTTTAAATTTTATTTATTATTTTACAAATAAAGCTGTGAACAGGTTTAGTAAACAGGATTACTGCCTCTGCAAGCAAAAGGGAACAAATGCAGACACAGACAAACACACTCAAACACACAAGGAAGTGAGGCTATACAGAGCAAAACAAACAAGCTGCAAAGAGTGGACAAACCTTGGTTCTTCTGGCATCCAGTAACTGAACAGCATGAGAAATGGAAAAAAAAAAATGAAGCAAAAAATCAACACAAAGAGAAGTCCAGTGCAAGCAAAGGATATTTAACAAAAAGCACTTAATCAACATAGAGTACCTTTACAGAAGGAAAAAAGAAAAAAAAAAATCTTATTAGAGCAAAGACCCATAAGCTACACAGCATCTATAGCACTGAAGTTTGATACATGTTGGGGGGGGGGGAGAAGTAAAAACGAAAAAGAAAAAAAATAATTGTGAGGTTTATTCCATCTTTCATTTTCCTAAATCTCACAAGACCCAAAGTCTTGGGTGTCTTACCAGGGAGGAAATCACAACACTCCAAAAATACCCATATGTTGTTTCAGGTCGCCACTACAACCAAATTCAGAGTGGAAGCACCACAGAAACAAAATTGTTACCAGTTGTGAAAAAAGAAACCCTTGCATGAAGTCATTTGGTCAATTCAGCAACACCTTCCCGCAGAGCCAATTGGAGGAGGCAGCCATAAGCCTGAAGGTATTTTTGTCCTAGGGACAAAACCAGGAGACTTCAAAAACAGCAATTACTCATTCATTCACAGACACATAATCCTATTTGTGGACAAAATACAATGCTAAACAGAGGACTCAAGATGGACATAAAGCAAGACTCCTGCCCACAGGGCATTCACAACGTTATACATGATGGAAAACACTATGTCTACGTTATATAAACATTGGGATAGTCACCATTTTGAAATCCTATGGTTGATACTGAGAAGTGTTGAGATCTTTCTGAGAGAAGCCTATTACCAGAAACTAACACTGTGTGATACACCATTGGATCATATGAGTATCTACTTCTCTTTACTATTTAGGAATGTCCACTGAGAACTTCTTAGATCATAGGAGACAAGTACCATTCTCATCCACATGCCACAGCACCTCTCAGAGTACTGCAGGGAAAGTAGCAACTGGTATGCATTAAACAATAGAGATTATGAATTATTTTTGTAATAAAATGCACCCATATAAAATGTAAAATTCAGTAGGCTGTAGAATATTCACAAAGTGCAATCATCAACACAACTTTTTTTTTTCCTTTGGTGTTGCTGGGGATTGAATTTTGTGCCTGCAAGGCAAACACTCTACCAGCTGAGCTAGATCCCCAGCCCAACACAACACATTTTTGAACATTTTTATCACCTCAGAAAGAAACGCTTTACAAGTTACTCCCCATCGCCCTTCCACAGCCCTGGTAACCACTAATTTACTTCTGGTCTTTATGGATTTGCCCATGTTAGATATTTCGTAACAACAGAATCATATAGTAAGTGGTTTCTTTCACTTAGCATGTTTTCAAGGTTTATCCATGATATAATAAAGTCTCAGTATTTCATTCCTTTCTATAAGGATTATTCCAAAATTGGGATAAACTACATTTATCTATTTTTCAATTGATTCATACATGGATATTCATAGCAACGTTATTCATATTAGACAGAAAGTGGAAATATTCCATGTCAACAACTGACAAATAGGTAAATAAAGTATGATATTTTCATTCAATGGGATATTATTCAGCCATAAAATGTATTAAAGCAGTAGTATATACTACAAGGATAAATGTTGAAAACATTTTGTCATTGTGAAAGAATTTAATCACAAAAGATTACAAATTTTATGATTCCACTAATGAATGTTCAGAATAAGCAAATTTGTAGAAAATAAATTAATAATTGCCAGAAGGGTGGGAAAGAAGAAATGAACAGTAACTACTAAATAGTTTGGGATTTCTTTGGGAAATGATAAAAATGTTCTAAGATGTTAGTTATACAGCTTTGTAAATATACTGAAACTAATGAATTTTACACTTTACATGGGATAAATATATATCTCAATAAAGCTGCCATAAAAAATGAGGTGGAAACAAATGCTAATACAATCTTTTTCCATATTGCACTAGACCAATCAAAACAAAGCCCACAAGAGAATATATAGCATTTAGTGATATAGCTGCTGCCAAGTCTCTTGGGAGCATGCTTTAACAACTGTCTTCTGATTAAATATTCATCCTTTCTTCCTTCCTTTCAACTGGAGACTTAACCCAGGGGTACTCTACCACTGAGCTACACCCCTGACCCCTTTTTATTTTTTATTTTGAGTTAGGAACTAAGTTGTTCAGGTGGGCCTCAAATTGGTGATCCTCCTGCCTTAGCCTCCTAAGCCACTGGGATTATAGGTGTGTGTCACCACACCCAACTCAATTAAATATTATTGATAGCAAATCTTCATCCTTTGAAGATGGCTTGGATTTCTGAGATGATCCAAATTTATTTGGAGACAAACATGATGAATCAGGATGATCAGAATAGAAAGTATCTTTTCTGAGAGTAACCAAAATAAGATTTATTCTCTCGTATGGTTTATAAACTGGCCAGAGGGAATTCCAAAGAAAAATTGCTGAAATGATTTGAGCAGAGGCAGCAACACTGGAAGGACAATTTTGTAAAGGAAATGGCATTTTGGTTGGATGAGTTGCCTATTGTTTCCACCTCTACAAAGTGGAAATCATTGTAATACCTACCTGCTCCTATGAGGAACAACCAAGAATATGCATTCAGTGCCAAGTCTGAAGGTAAAAGAAATGAGGAAATTAAGAAGTTAGGGAAGGGGGTAAGTAGGTAGGGAGGTAAATAGGAAGGTTGATAGGAAGAAAGATGGAAAGAAAATAGGAAAGAAGAAAGGGCAAGAGAGAAGAGAAGAAATGGTCCATTTATCCATTCAATATACAACGTATGATTTGTTTTTGTTATAGTGTAGGGGGATGGACCAGTATCTCCTCCATGCTCCAAAAACATAAAAAATAAATAAATAATCTACTCTCACAATTCCCATGGACAGGTAATTCAACAGAATCAATACTGTGTCATGAGGGTTATGTTGTCATAGCCAGGTAGCTGGAAATGTACAGAAGATGTAGCCCAGGCTAGGGCCACATAGATAAATATTCCCAAGCCAAGGGACCACCACTGGGCTATGTCTTGAGGAATAAATGAGAATCTGTCCCCTGAAAAAAGATGGAAAGAGAAGAGACCATGTAAAGGTCCAGAGGCAAAGAGAGACCACCTATTAAAGAAGAATAACAACAAAAATCTGTCTAGCCATTTACCACTTGTCACACGTGGTCCTAAGTTCTTCTGACTCTCACAACTGCCTAAGAGGCAACACTGTTATGATCTCCACTTAATAGATGAGAAAATGGGAGCACGAAGAAATTAAGTAACTTGCTCCATGTCACCAGATAGGTAAGTTGTCTAGTCAGGTGCTCATCTAGGTAGTCTGACCCCAATGTCCCTGCTCAAACCACTCTGGCACCTGTCCTCGGAAGTGGCACAAATATTTCAGGATGGCTGCAAAAGAATGAGGGTCAGGTGTTAAAAGCAGATATATAGGCATCTATAATAGTTATAGCAATTCTCACAGTTAAGAATTAGCTATCCTGGCACTAGAGCAGATTATGCTAAGTGAAGCTAGCCAATCTCTAAAAAACAAATGCCAAATGTCTTCTTTGATATAATGAGAGCAACTAAGAACAGAGCAGGGAGGAAGAGCAGGAGGAAAAGATTAACATTAAACAGAGACATGAGGTAGGAGGGAAAGGGAGAGAAAAGGGAAATTGCATGGAAATGGAAGGAGATCCTCATTGTTATACAAGATTACATATAAGAGTTTGTGAGGGGAATGAGAAAATAAACAAGGAGAGAAATGAATTACAGTAGATGGGGTAGAGAGAGAAGATGGGAGGGGAGGGGAGGGGAGGGGGATAGTAGGGGATAGGAAAGGTAGCAGAATACAACAGTTACTAATATGGCATTATGTGAAAATGTGGATGTGTAACTGATGTGATTCTGCAATCTGTATTTGGGGTAAAAATGGGAGTTCATAACCCACTTGAATCTAATGTATGAAATATGATATGTCAAGAGCTTTGTAATGTTTTGAACAACCAATAAAAAAAAAAGAAAAAAAAGAATTAGCTATCCTAACCAGGCTGTTTCTCATGAGAGGTGATTTTGATGGCTATTTCTAGGTCATACATTTACTAAGGAATAACATTTATTTCCCAGATAGCCTACTTGATTAGTCACTAGATGACTTCAGCATGAGCAAATACAGCCTGATAATCACCCTAAAATTTAGTGTTCCAAAGCTTCTCAAACTATGTTTACATTCATTTGTCATTCTCTTTTTAAAGATATTCATAGTTTCTCAACCTTCTGGCTAAGATCAAACATAATTTCAAAATATTCAAAATTAAACAGGTCTCTCCTATGTTCCTACAAAAAAAGATGCTTGTGCAAAATGTGAGTACCTTGTAGAGCTTTGATCTTCTTTCTGTTTAACTTCCCTGAGGATGGGGAAGGGATCTGAAGCAATCTCATTCTCATTTTTTTTCTCTCTCTCTCCACCACTGTTCTACTTTTAAGAGATTCAACTCAAGTTTCAAGAATAACTCACTAGATTTTCCTTCTCTGGTTAGATATTTAACATAGATGATGTCAATTCCAAAATATAATAGCACCTTTGGTGATAAATAACCTAGAGAAATCATAGCCTTTCTGCCTCAGTTTCCATGTTTGTAAGACTGATAGAGTAATAATTCCTACTACCTAGGAATTGCTAAACTTAATGAAGATAAATCATTTAATGAAGAATAAATAGGTACCAGGAACAGAGTAAACACCTACATCAGTCAAGATGGGCTGGGACTGCTGCCAGAGGACAGCAACAATGACCCACATTCTGAAAGGCATAAGCCACCCGCAGACACAGAATCAGAACTTTAAGGGCTGGAAGAGAACTTAAAGAATAGCTTGCCGATCCTTTTTTTAAAAAAAACAAATGAGAAAATGAGATTCACACAGGTTATATGAGAGATCTAAGAGCAAATGTACACACTCTCAAAACCAAAATTTTGGTTTCTGGAATCCTGGAGTTCATCCTGGTGAGACTAAACCAAAATTA